ACCTGGCACACTCAACGACTCGCGTGTCCACGTGCAGTGGAACACACACAATCTGTGTGTGTAAAGACATTGAGAGGCAGTGCGATAGGAGGGAGAAGACACCACAACGGAGGGAAAACTGCAGGGATGAGACTCCCCGACTCGTGGCCGCTGAATATTGAACCTTATCAGCACCACATTGTGGATGTGACGTGGAGAGTGATCGGCGGGGCTAGCCATGAGGCTCTCAGTTGGGGCGGTTCAGGGAGTAGGGGAGTCGATATCACAAGGGGTGAAATATCACAAGGGGTGAAATAGCATTTGGAGTGGCGTTAAGCTTGGAGAGGAAAGGGAGCGGCTGGGTTGTGAGAGCTCCACGGGAAATTACCAGTGCCGGATTATCCCAGTAGCACAAGCAGCTACATGTCTAGTAGCTACATGTGTAGTAGCTACACGTGTAGTAGCTGCACGTGTAATAGCACGTGTAATAGCACGTGTAGTAGCTGCGTGTGTAGTAACTACTGCGTGTGTAGTAGCTACTGCACGTGTAAGTAGCTACTGCACGTGTAAGTAGCTACTGCACGTGTAAGTAGCTACTGCACGTGTGAGTAGCTACTGCACGTGTGAGTAGCTACTGCACGTGTAAGTAGCTACTGCACGTGTAGTAGTAGCTACTGCACGTGTAGTAGTAGCTGCACGTGTGTAGTAGCTACGGGCCCCGCACTTTCAAGGGCCCCACGCTAAATGCTTTCAAGCTATCATTTCCGGTGCAGTGATTCTGCACTTGCTCTATTACTATAGTACTATACCGCCTCCAACTTTTATGAACGACTGGGTGTTTAAGGTTAGCGATTTGTCGTGTTATCTGGCTGTATAGCAAATTCAAAAATACAATTACTTTACTATGCACGTTAAATATTTGTGTGTTTTTTTTTAATTTAGTGCTCCTTTATAACATGCTACAGGCCCTGCGCACTAGCTTAATCCGGCACTGGAAGTTACGTGATAAATAAGTGTAGGAGTGCAAACAACAAGTAGCCGATTGTTACAATTGTGAAGTAATACTATTTATATTAAATTGGGTTGCCCATTCTGGGTACAAAATATACACGATTGTTTAGAGTCGTCTCTTCCTCTTTATATATCGCTAAATGTGGGCGACGTCACACACACACACCTGCCACTCGTCCGTCTCCAGTGCACACGCAGTTTCAGTTTAGTTTTCAGTTTCATTTATTTGGTATAGCCCTGTGAGCCATTCGGCTCTTGAATCGGGTGCAACCGCAACAAACAAAAACATGAACAAGAAAACATCTTAAAAACGCAGCAGTATAAACACCGACACCAGCACACGGAGCAGTGTGTATACAGACATGTACAGACAGAACAATGTGGCACATAGACACGTGTACACGTGTATACGTGTCTGTGTTTGTGTGTGGGGAGCGATAGTGTAGCGGTTAGCGCGCTGCACTATGAACCTGGCGACCCGGGTTCGATTCCCGCTCACGGCCAACACCAGTGACGATTATCTGAACCGGTCCCGGGCCTCCCCTAGGTCGACTCAGCCTCAAATGAGTAGCTGGTGCGGTGTGTAAACATTGCCACTAGGGAGACAAAGGCGGTCGGGCGTGGTGCTGGCCACCCACCCCCTCGTGTACCGTTCCGGCCTTCATAAGTGCTCGCTAACAGCACTTGCCCCTACAGTCTGTTAAGGCTATATGGGGGATCTTTGATCTTTGTGTTTGTGTGTACACAGATTTGGTGGAGTGGTAGGGTAGCGGTTACCTCGCTGCGCTACGAACCCGGCGACCCGAGTTCGATTCCCGCTCGTCGGCCAATACCAGTGACGATTATCTGAACCGGTCTTGGGCCTCCCCTAGGTCGACTCGGCCTCAATTGAGTACCTAAACATCGCCACTAAGGAGCATGGTGCTGGCCACCCACCCCCTCGTGTGCCGTGCCGGCCTTCATAACCGCACTTGTGTAGTGAGCGACTTCTGAGACACGATGTTACAGGAACAATCACTGAGCGACATATATATACGGGGCTACGCATAGCTGACCCATCCACACAGCCCCATTGTCGGCAACTAACTTTCTAGTTGGCTGACTAATATAGCGACGTTGACGATGGGAGCCGTACAGCGGATCGGCCACGCGGCCGGACGATGAAGAAGAGATGACGGCGAAGACAGCGGCGGCAGCCAGGACCCGGACTCCACTACAGTCCCGAACCTTCGGTCACGTCCCCCTTATATACTCCTCGGCATGGCCAGGCCCCGCCTCCGGCCACGCCCCCTTCTAGAACCTTCGAGCAGGTTCCCAGAGCTTCCCGACTGACCCCGCTTTTAGCCGAGTTACGTCCCCCTTATAGTTGGTTATTATAGAACGCACCCAAACCCGTGATTATCCCTTCTAGTCAAGAGATGCCACCCTGTCATTACACTTGCGTATGCGACCAATAAACTCTGATTTGATTTGCCCCAACAGTTTGTTCAGGCTATACGGGGGATCTGTGTCATTGGTAAGCGCACTACACTATGAACCCAGCACGCTAAGTTCGGTTCCTGGCCACGGCTAAAATCAGTGGTGGTTTTCAGGACAGGTCCCTGCGCCTCTGTTAGGTCGGACTGACTCTGAAACACCACTGTACCCTGTGGGGCTATTACCAGGGAGACGCCTCTCCGGGCACTCGCCGAGGCTAGGCCTTGGCTCCCGCGCTCGGAGCACCGCAGTCAATGGGTCCAGCACGTGGCGGCACAGTGCCTGTCCTTGGACGGGTTGGGCTGCCGTTGGCTCAACGCCCGGAGGCAGCGGTGGCACGACCTCGACGAGCGCGGCCCTCCCTGCCCGTGGGCCCCAGCGGCCCGGGCGTGGCCACCGACATCGCGGGGGAGGGGGACGTCGCGGCGGCTCCAGGTGCGCACGTCACGTGGCGCGCGCACCTTTTAGTCTCGAGGGAGCGGAGGCGTAGTGGTTTGCGCTGCGCTACGAATTCGGGGATGCCGAGTTTGAGTCCCGGGACAAGGCTAACGACGCCACATCGTTTGTACTGATCCTGGGCCTCCTCTGTGTTGATTTAGTAGTGAATGAGTACCTGGTGGAATATAAGAATAGGTTTTTACCCTTTATGTACATAAAACAGTTAAGATGTCTAAACGCCAAACCAAAACCTTTTACAAGGAATCGTGTCTGCATAAACCACATATACTTGTGGTGAACATGCCAACAAGACACATGCTCTGGTAGTATATGTGTAGTGGCATAGTGTCGTAGCATAGCGCTAGCTGCTGGCAGGAAAGGGGATCTGCGGCGTACGGCAGCCCTGACGTCCGCAGCCCAGGATATACACCAGAGGGGGATCTAGGGGAAAGGTGAGAAGAAGGGGCACACCAAGAACCCGCTAGTAGTATCCAGAAAGGGGGCGTGGCCGGCGGCGGAGCGAGGCCACGCTCAGAGTATAAGAGGGGCCCCTGTAGGGGACCTCGGGGCTGTTGATGGAGTGGGATCCCCGTCGTGCTGCTCAAGTCTTCGTCACCGTTCTTCTCGTCGTCGTCTTCGTCTTCACCATCTCGGGTTGCCACCAGTCAGGCAGCCTACCAACTGTCCTGACTGATTAACACGTAGGAGGCTTTCACGACCAATATCATCCATCATAGAAGTTTCTGGGTGAGATCGCGGTATGTTGCCTCAGTAATCCCGCCCTCCCCCCATTATTGTGCAAGAGTGCAGAAGGGTGGTCACCACATCTACGCCTCTATATAAGGAACGAAACAGGTGGACTTCTCCACAAATCTGGCTGTCGCCTGATGAAGCTGGTTGCAATTACTGGCGAAACGTCATACTCAGTTTGTAAATGTTGCGAATTTGCTCTCCAACACACCGGTGTGCTGTACTAGTGACGAATTGGCCACGTTCTGTTTACGTGACAACCCTTACTAGTTGGCTGTGTCGGGTGGTGGCGGGCTTAACGACACATTTATATATGTTTATACATATATTTACATATACACATATATTTACGAGATCTAACCCAAAAACCTCTTGTGGATGTCCTGACTGAGTAGCGTCGCCGGCAATAAACGGATTAATTATTAAGAGTGTTAACCCCGATGGTGCTCGTTAATAAAGAAGTGCCTCGAAGTGTTCTCGTCTCTGAGCTCGTCACTACATACGCATTGTCTTTGAAACTGATTGATAAAGAAGGCTGCGTCTCTGGTGGGGGCAGAGACGGCCTGTGTAGGCTACACAATGTGATCATGCCTGATTGCTAATAAGCCTCAGAAGGGCAAGACCTTATACACCGTACACACCTGCAAAGGATAAAGATCCCCCGGTATAGCTTAACAGACTGTTGGGGCAAGTACTGTTAGCGAGCACCGATGAAGGCTGGCACGGCACACGAGGGGGTGGGTGGCCAGTACCATGCCTGGCTGCCTTTTTCTCCCTCGTTGCGATGTTTACACACTGAGTAGACCTAGGGGAGACCCAGGACCAATTCAGTTAATCGTCGCTGGTGTTGGTCTTGAGCGGGAAATCGAACTCGGGTTCCCGGGTTCGTAGCGCAGCGTGCTAACCTCTACACTAACACTCCCCACATCCACATCTACACACAAATTGTCAACACTCCTACATACCCCCACAATAGGTGTACTCCCATCAGGGCCGGATTAACATTGTGTAGGCCCCTGGGTTCCAGGTACTGTGAGCCCCCAGTAATATTTTCAAAAGGAAAACAAAGTAAAAAAAAATATTTTTTTACAAGGCTCAAAGCAAATAAAATTCAGCATTCACAAACGAAATAACTTTTCACTTAATCTCTGAAGGCCCTCCAGCTGGCGGAGGCCCCTCGGCTGCAGCCCCTGAAGCCCCCACGCCTTAATCCGGCCCTGACTCCCATAGACGACACGTGGGGACACCGAACATGGTTCGCTGTGGGCACCGCGTCTCCGTGGTGAGTGACAGACACCACCATCCCGTTTCTCAGTGCGCCCTCTCCCCGCGACTCTCCCCGGCAGGCTGACCTGCTACACGATCGCCAAGAAGGCTCTGCTCGTCTCCGTGCTGCTGTTGCTGCCATACTTCACCTGGAATGCGTACGTGTGAGTACGGGCGGGTGGTGGGACCCAGGTGCGCGGTGGCAAAGCGGGGCAGGGCGGACGGGTGAGAGACGGAGTGGAGCAGTGGCACCCAGAGGTTGAAGACATAAAGGCCGATGGTGATGGTGTTAGGGGCCGTCCATAAATGACGTCACGCACCTGGGGGGGGGGTCGGACATTTGTGACGATGTGTGACGAGGCGGAGAGGGATTTAAGAAGTGTGACGTCACATCAAAATGCGCAACTTTAAATAAATATAGACAACACGTCGTACTTAATCAAATATACTTTTTAATAAATGTTTTCTCCTACAACATCAGAGTGCAGCGCCACTTAAAAACCCAGTACAATGGCAATAGTTTAAAGCGTTTGGAAGCATGTTTTATTTTTGGGGGGGGGGGGGGCATAGCTTTATGACGTCATTTGAGAGGGGGGGTCTGACTTTTCGTGACGCCGTGTGACGAGGGGGGGGGGTCAAAAATCGTCCAAAATCGCGTGACGTCATTTATGGACGACCCCTTAAGACCAGGGGTCACCAAACTACGGCCCGTGGGCCGAATCCGGCCCGCGACGTCAGTCCATCAGGCCCGCCGACGGTACTTGATTTGACTGATAAAACGTATGGAGCACGAGACGTTGTGATACAATTTAAATTTAAATATTATGTTTAGAATACTAGGAGATCTTCACGCGTGCGGAGACCTCCTGATTGCTATGTTCCTTAAATGTACTATTTTAAATTTTAAATTATTGTATCTAGATTTTCTTGTTTATCGTAATGTTTGCTTATTTCGCGCCATCCCAAGTACTTCCCCGGCTCGTGGTAGCTCCGCCTACGCTCTGACGTTACCATGGTTTCCATGGCAACGTCATGGCAACACATTACCATGGTTTCCATGGCAACACACACAAACAGGCATCTTTCCCGCCCCCAGATTTTACAGCTGTCAACACAGGTCCGACGCTCCAGAAATATTTATTTATTATGCGGCCCACGCTCGTCATTCTTTCAGTTATCCGGCCCACTGTGAAAAAAGTTTGGTGACCCCTGCCTTAAGACTATCGTAGGTGTCAGGACTTTGCAACAACCGAGATTATCTGGCAGCGTTTAAGGCTGGTGAGGTGCGCTGAGAGCAACAGCATTGGCCTTGATGACCTATAGACATTGGTTTCCGTGCAAGTCTTGATTGTGTGTGATTGAGGCAATGGGCGAGTTACTCATTCTTCGTCGTTGAGTAACAGCGCACATCGGCGAGGCTCGGAGAATACTCGGAGCGTGGCTGATGCAATGTGCCTCCCACGGACGGATTAGTTTCCGTGGTCATGTTGCGTGACCAGGCAGGAACTCAAGAGCGTATGATGAATCTCGTTCACGAGTTTCCCGAGTCACCAAAAAGGCAACAATATCACGTGAAAACAAAGTACAGTAACGGAGCAAACAGCAACCAAAGCTAATACAACCAAGTTACAGGAGAAATATCAAAGTGTGAACGAACAAAACTCAATACTGGATCGTTTAACATCGTCAAACCACATCGACAATACCACCACCATCATCATCATCATGAAGATCTTAGACTGCAGTGATTCCTCTGTACCACCCTCGCTACCACTGCGTTGCCCCTTTCATGAATTCAGGAAAGTCTCTCTGAGTCTCAATAATATTTTTCAGGAGGGTCCTGCCACATTTGGATGTTCGATCGCTCTTCGATCGATTTCGATCGAAGAGCGATCGAAATCGAATCCAATTTCGATTGCTCTTCGGCAGCGGTGGTCGCGGCGTCCGTGCGGTTATTTCACGGCGTTGGTGGTGGGGGGGGGGGTGTCTCACTGCGGCTCCGTTTTTTCTCCTCCTTCCGCAGGGTCCACATGACGTACCCGCGGTTCTACAGCCCCGTCGCACCGTGAGTCTCGCGCTATAAAACCCCGCCGGCGACGCTTCGCTCGTAGCTCGCTAAGCCTGCCAGTCTCCGTCGGTCACACGGTGGAGTTGGAGGTCATGGGTGCGGTGCGAAGGCGTTGGGCGGGGGGGGGGTGGTGGTTTGTGTGACGGCGTGCATGGGTTGTCGGGGTGCGTCCGCCGTGATGGTGCTGGCCTGCGGTTGTCTGGGCGCGTTGTCGCTGGGCGGGTCTCCTTGTGCTGGGGGGTAATTGGCAAGAGCAATCCAGAAAGGTCTCTTCAATAACAGTGCTGCCCCCATTGAGCCGCGTCCGAGTGAACAAAGGGCCGCACCTGCACTCCCCCGGGGGTCTCTCCCCACCCCACACCGATGGCTGACGCCCAACTCCACCCCCTCTCATCAAGTTTCAAGTTTCATTTATTAGGTATAGCCCTGTGAGCCATGCGGCTCTTAAGTCGAGTGCAACCGCAACAAACACAATTTGAACGGAGAGCATCTTAAAGCGACGACGCGTAGCTTGTGTCGCGGTGCGGTGGCGATGTTGTCCATCTCGACACACGGTCCTGTCAGAGATTACCCCTTGTCTGTAAGCGCCTGGCGAATTTCTCTGGTCGTTTGTTTTGTTGTTCAATTATTTACAGCGAGGGAGGTGGAAGGAAACGCTATTTGATAAAAAAAAAACAGCAGGGGCAGCTCTCAGAGCGTGTGGGGAGCGGTGGCGTTGTGGTTAGCGCGCTGCGCTACGAGCCCCCGCGACCCGGGTTCGATTCCCGCTCGCGGCCAACAGAAGCGACAATGATCTGAACCGGTCCTAGGCCCTCCCCTAGGTCAGCTCGGCGTCATTTGAGTGCCTAGTGCGATGTATAGAAAAACATCGCCGCTCGGGAGACAAAGGCAGTCGGGCGTGGTGCTGGTCACCTACGGCCCTTTGTGTGGCGTGTCGCGATTCCCGCTCATGCGTCCTGAGAGCTGCCGCAACTGTTTTTTCAGCAAATAGTGTTTCCTCCATCAATTATTTAGAGCACTAATGCACAGCACTGTCTGCTCACAGCACCTGCCTCAACAGTCTGTCAAGGCTATGGGGGGGGGGACTCTTTGTGTGCTGTGTGTGTAGCGCCCGGACGGACGTGAACTCGCTGACACCGTGGCTGGCGCCCATCGTGTGGCAGGGAACCTACGACCCCAGCTTCCTCGAAGATGCGCACCGTGAGAAGAACGTCACGGTGGCGCTCACCGTGTTCGCTGTGGGCAAGTGCGTGGCTTCCAGCCCAGCACCCACGTGTCCTGCGCACCACAACCACCTTAACCACCCACGTGTCCTCCGTACCATCACCCACGTGTCCTCCGCACCACCATCATAGCCACCGCAACCACAACCACCCACGTGTCATCTGCACCACCACCCACGTGTCATCGGCACTGCCACCACCCACGTGTCCTGTGCACCACCACCTACGTGTCCTGTGCACCACAACCACCACAACCACCCATGATCAATCGATCGTTTGATATCGGATGAAACGGGCATGGTTTCACTCCAGTGGCCCATATAAGTGCCAGGCCCGACGGCTGCCCCCTTTGAGGTGCCGTTGGCTGTGTGCCATATTCAGCGGTTGGAGTTGCTACCTGTCCTGATTTTCTCAGGACCGTCCTCCTCTTGAGTGAGGCAGCTGCCCTATCTAGAAAATCTGTTTTTGTCCGTTGTGTAATAATGCACCCCTACAAACGATGCATTTACATGAAGTTATCCCCTGTACTAGTGACGAATTGGCACGTTCTATTTACGTGAAAACCTTTACTAGTTGGCTGTGTCGGGTGGTGGCGGGTTTTAACGACACATTTATATTCACGTGATCTCGCCCAAAAAGCCTCCAAAGTTCTCCCCTCTTAAAGTAGCGTGAGGGATGTTCTTCTTCTTCTTCCTCCCATGGTATTTCCCAGTTGTTTTTGTACCTTGAAGGTGGCAACCTTAGAGATGACTCTAACCCTGACCCTTACCTCCCCGACCCCGCGACTGCACGCACGCTTGCACGCGCGCAGGTACGTGAAGTTCCTGGAGCGCTTCCTGAGCTCGGCGGAGCAGCACTTCATGGTGGGGCGGCACGTGGTGTACCATGTGATGACCGAGCGCCCCGAAGCCGTGCCCCGCCTGGAGCTGCCTCCAGGCCGCAGCCTGCGCGTGGGCCTCGTGGACAAGCACTCGCGCTGGCAGGATATCTCGATGGCGCGCATGCAGAAGCTGGGCGAGCTCTTGGAGGACATCGCCCAGGAGGCTCAATACGTCTTCTGCTTCGACGTCGACATGGAGTTCCAAGGTGAGGGGGTGGGGGGGGGGAGGCTTTCGGCAGGGTTGCCGCCGTGGGGTTGCCACCGAGGATCGCCACATTTTCCGTTGTCGACCAAACCAGGGCACATCTCCCGATCAGCCTGCAATTAAGTTCAACTGGATGCCACTAGATCTCGGTACTAATCAATTCCTGCTGCCCGAACATGGATGCCAATTAACGGACTGTACAATGCCGTTGCCAACTTTTCTTGGTTTTCTCAACGTTGGTGAAATTTTAAATGAACATTGAACTGATTTTATTGAAATATGTGGAGTCATTTCATTTTTCCGAAACTGCATTGTTACTCCTTTATGGCCACTCCTGGCGCTGTGCTGTGATGAATGTGGTTTTTATAGGAGTGTCAAAACTATGTCCGTGTGTGGAATCCTGTCACATCGCTGATTTTCACTTAAAACTCATTCACTGCACCTTAAATTAATTTATTTGACAAAATATAATAGATATATTCTCAAGTCGGATATGTTTTGTGGAAGGATATTTGCAATTTTTAGCTATCTTATAGATTTTTCAAATAATTTGTATTTGAACAATACAATTGACCTGTGAACTCACCAGCTGTCATTGGTTTTACGTTCCACCCTTCTGAGGACCCCTTTACTGCCCGGCCTCGTAACCCCGCAATGATCCCACGTTGTCCACTGTCCCCCTGCAGGCCCCTTCGGGGTGGAGGCCCTGGGGGATCTAGTGGCCGTGCTACACCCCTGGTTCTACAAGCGCCCTCGCTCCATCTACAGCTTCGAGGGGCGGCCTGCGTCCACCGCGTTCGTGATGCCAGCCGACCGTCTCTACTACTACCACGCGGCCGTGTTCGGGGGCACGCCTGCCTCCGTGCGCCACCTCGTGCTCAGCTGCAGCCGGGTAATGGGGACGGCTACGGGGGATAGGGTCACGTGATTCAGTGACACTCTCGCTTTGTGTTCCAGGTGACAAAGTCGCTCGTCTGGGGCTTGCTTTCTCACCGAATATTTTCCGGGTCACTGGTAGACTGGAGCAGGTGGCACGTGACCAGTTGCCACAGCCATATAGAAAAGTATACCAGATGTGTTGTGCCAGGTCCTACTTGCGAGGGGCGAGAATTATTACTGATCGGTAGATTTTATTGGCGACCTCTCCACAGACGATCAGCGAGGACCGTGACCGCGGGGTGGAGGCCCTTTGGCACGATGAGAGTCACCTGAACCGCTACCTGGCGGCCGAGCGGCGGCCCACCAAGGTGCTGTCCCCCGAGTACAGCTGGGACTCCAAGATGGTGCCGGCGCGGGAGGTGCGCATCATTCGCCTCGCCACTGTCATCAAGGACTACTCCAAGATCCGCGACAACTGGTGACGAGAGGCGACCGCCCTCCACCACCCCCCCCCCATCCTCCTCCATCCCGAACGTTACCTCACACTAGCCATCAACTTCGATGCCACCACCACCACCTCCCCCCCACCGAGTTCTATAAGTGTCCTTACTAATGAAGGTACCAGCGAGCTGCGGAGTACAGCTCGCAGAACTGAGCGTTTGATGACCTCATAGATTTCTGAAAGATGAGTTGTGTAAAAATTGTGTGATTAATCGAGTTTGTGTTGCAGATCTCAAAATCTCTTAAGAGCATGCCCATTGTGCAGGTTCCCTCAATCAACATTCGATCCCTCTGCACCACACTCCTCCCCGCTTGGATTCTTGAGCCACGGCTGTGGGAGTCCGTCAGTGGCGGCTTCCCCCCCACAGCCTCCCTCAGCCGTTGCTTCGGTGATGCCAACGCCCGATTTGTGCCCGTGGTGTAGAAAGAGGCCAGTCCTCCGTGGAAAGAACATCAAAGATTCTGTTCAATTGTTTACGTCTAAGATCAATGTTTGCAGCCTTTATATTCTCAGGTATGTTTTACGTTACCAAAATCGTGTCATCAAAACGTGTATCGAGTGTAATTTGTCAAGAATTTCATTGTTCGGAGTTGCTGTGTGTGGTGAATATACACTGACTACGTCCCCAACCCTTGGCGATTCCAAATGAGATTAATCGTTGAAATCCATTACAAAAAATATTGTGGCGAAGGTAGCAGCCACTAGTAGCTGGCAGGGATTATGTGAACCTATTACAGGCAACGTTCACGCATTAAAAATTTAATTCTAATGCATGAGATTATACACGTATCATGGAGCTCAGATAATCGACCTTCGTTGATTTCACAAGTGCACCGTTATACCTCCCACCGGATTTGCACAAGACCACATACACTCATGTTTCTAGCGTGCCTTTGTTGAACAATTACATGTGTTCACGACGTCTTTATTTCATATTTAGCAAGGCAGTCTTGATGTAATTTCTTCCACTTGGGTAAATGTAAGAGAGGTCTCTTTACCTCTGGTGTGGGCACTGCAGCAGAACTGACACACTCTTCTAAGCACAATCACTGCAGTGTTTGCTCCGCTTTACGCTAATACAGCCTTGGCGTGGCTCCAATGACCTCACATTTGGCTGTCTCATTCTGTCCGGCAATATTTGCCACACGGGGTGAACCAAATTAAAATTAATCGAATTCTGTACCATGATGCCCACAACATATGTCAGTGTCAGCCTCCGGGCCATGTCAGCATGTTGACCAAAAGTTTAAACCAAGCAAAATCTATTGCGGAGTGTAAGGGAAGTTATTTATGTACCCATTATGTTCCACAAGCACATATCAAGTGTCGCCAAAAGGCTTTGAGGGTCCCAGGACAAAATCTCAGGTGGCATCCCCTGTAAGGCCTTCTTTACATTAATCGATTTCATCGCTTTGTTGTATATATGCAGTGGTCATCATGTTTGTTTTTTCCGGCCATCGCTTAATACTACCACGGGCTGATGGAGCTCATCTTTACCGATTTCTCACTCAGTCCCTGAACACGCGCTCCTGCAAATGCCTGCACCATTGCGCAAATTACTCCCACGTCCAATTTTATTTTCCTGTGTGCGTGTTTTTATTTATCTAATGTTAACATAATTTGTATGGGTATTTATGAGTACTGTACATGTAATTTTTTTTACCAAGTTTTGATTTTTTTAAAGTCACATTCATGGATTATGAGAAAAAAATTGTCCACGCGTCACCTCATCCACAAATGCAGCGATGATATGTTTATTAACGTAACAACGCAAACCATTGACTAATTGAATAAAAAAACGTTTCAATCATTTCCTTACGTCAGCCTATCTTATACACTGTGTGCACGTATGTACGCACTCCCAAGGCAAGTGGAATGGCAATGAGGGTTGGTGTGAGTCACTCGGTCTGGTGCTGTTGTTATTTGACAAGATGGCTTGATTTTAATTCACCATGGCATCATTAAGTGGGGCTTCTTTTCATGGTTATTCGTTTTACAATCGAGCTCAATTTTGTTATCAATAATCATTTACAGCCCAATGTGAATCCACTGCTGGATGAAGGCCTCCCCAAACCGTGTTGGAAATGTAAGTTGTTTGACCATACTTCACCACACTGGTCAGTGCAGGTGAGGCTGGGAAGGTTGGCAGGTAGAACCCAGGACCCGTTCAGATATCACCACTGATCTTCGTTGTGGTTCAGAAGTGAACTCGGGTCACCGGGTTCATAGTGCAGCACTGCACAATAACGACTCCACCACCGCTCGTGGTAATGGAGCCTTGCTAATGCCATTTGTGGTGGTTGACAATGGGGAATGTTTCTGGATTAACTGTAGGCTTAGAAGATAAACTGTCATGGTTTTGGGAGGTAAAGGAGAGCGTGACGAGCCGCTTTGGGGGCTTCATCACGAGGTGTGATTCTGCCGTCCCCACTCGGTAGCCCGTTTCTGGACTAACTTTGTAGGGTTAAAAAGGAGCCTGTCTATCCATTGTGGTGTGTTACAGAGGATTGCGTAGTCACTGCAGATGGCCATGGACAGAGAGCGATTTTCGTGGAAATACAACGGCTTACGATAATGCATCCTTCATGGTCATCTTAAGCGGTGGTTTCCAAGGAATCCACGGTTGTGGGAAGTATTGCAAAGGATCCTTCCTGGCTCGCAAATAATAGCCTTCCCGTCAGTAGTCACTGTCGTGATTTATAACGACAAAGGGCATTGCTCGCACGAACTCCTGCTGCATTGGTTGATGAGCATGGAGCCCTGTCTGTCAGTCGATGCTGGGTCGGCGCTGTTGGAGCAGGGGAGGGGGTTAGGGATGATGGGGGCGGCCTTTGCAGCGTCGTTACTGGGGCGCCTTCTCCTGCTGCCACTGCTCTGGCGTCAGCGTCTTCTGCTGGAACGCGTGGATCTCCTTGAGCTCCTCCGCAAGCGCCGCGTTCACCAGCCTGGGGGAGATTTCCCGTACCTCTGATTAGCACGGTGGGACTACGTACGGTGGGAAAGAAGTTCAACATACGGCACAAAGACAATGACCCCCCCCCCCCCGCCCATGTAGCCTGAACAGACTGTTGGGGAAAGTGCGTTTAGCAAGCACCTATGAAGGCCGGCACGGTACACGAGGGGGTGGGTGGCCAGCACCACGCCCGGCCGCCTTTGTCTCCCCACTGGCGATGTTTACACACTGCACCAGGTACTCAGGACCGGATCAGAAAATCGTCGCCGGTGTTGGCCACGAGCGGGAATTGAACTCGGGTCGCCGGGTTCGCTACACTACCGCTCCCCACATAGTACACGCAGTGCACGCACACCGAGACGTGCGCCCTTCAATTCACTGCTCAATGATCGACGGGTAAACCGTATGGATTGACACGGTATGGTCACCAGTTCCCACTGGTCACTTGCCACTGGTCACAGAGGGCAGCACCTGAGGTGCGCACTAGGCCCCCTTCCCCAGCCGAGGAGGTTTGCGAGTGGTGTGATTGTGGCGAGTGATGGAAGTGGAGGTGAGCGATTAGGGTGAATGAAGCGATGGTGGTGGTGGCGATGGTGGTGGTGGCGATGGATGAATAATGGAAAGCAAATTCAAGTGGTTCGGAGACGAGTGGTGATGTCGCAGTTGATTCGGGGCAAGTGCTAGGTGATGGAGACACAGCCGCTGTATCGGTCAGCTGTGCCTCTGCAGCAGCGGCTTGCCCTCAACCCAATGACCGGATGGTTGCCGGCCACTGCGGCAAGTCACTTCCAGTCACTGGCCTAAATATGGTCACCGTTTATAGCCAGTCACTGGTCAGTCACCCATACCTGTCAGCACCTCATCAATGCCATACCTTATTACAGACCAATTCAGACCGTATTGGTCACACCGTGCCCTTATACATCTCAACGTCCATCCTACAAAGTCCCATCACAAGGGAGAAACACAAAGAAATAGACAATAATTGTTTGCTCGTATTGAAATGGCTGTATGCCGTATGGACCTGAAAACTCAATCTCCCTGCACAAGAATAAGGGTAAACCATATATCGGTTGACAGGTATGATAGTGCAGTGTATATTGCAGGGTATAGTCGTGTATAGTGTAGCATATAAAAGTGTATAGTAGTGCTGTGTATAATAGGGTGTAGTGCAGTGGTTATTAACCTTGTTGGAGGTACCGAACCCCACCAGTTTCATATGCGCATTCACCGAACCCCTCTTTAGTGAAAAATAAAATGTGATTTTTTTCAAATTCAAGACATAGATATGTTTTTTACTGGTACACAAAATGAGCCGTGCATGAACATTACCTTGTTTAAAGAATAAAACCAACACAATGCATAAACTCACAACAAATTACATACCTGGAAATCAATGTGACTTCTGCTGTTGCCTTTGAGAGATCAGTTCAGATATGCGTGGCTTCACCTTGGCAAGTGCCACTCTCATGTCATTTTCACAACAAAGTCTGTTCCTTTTCTTCGTTTTTATGTCCAGCATCCTCGAAAAGGATTGCTCACAAAGATATGTTGTAACAAATGGTATAAAAAAAATCCAGGGCTTTCTTAGCAATAACTGGATACTTGTTCATTTGTCGACACCAAAAAGTTGAGAGCGTTGTTGTTCTGAAGAGTTGCTGTTGAACCTGGCTCTGCTGAATTTCAATGATTTCGTCGAGGAATTCATCATTGACATCTGCTGTTTCAACAGCAAACGTGAACGGCTGTCTCACCCATGCTGGATATGACTCTCTTGTAGGGAAATATCCGTCGAGAGACTTTGCAAGCTCATCTAAGTGCGTGGCAATTGTTTGCTTCAGTTCCGTGGATACAGAAATATCTCCGATTCCAGACACATCTTCGATCTTACTTGCACAGTCATCCAGAAGCGGGAAGTTTGCGAAGTTATTGTTCTCTGTTCGTCGTTTCCATAACGGTAGCTTTTTTTGAAAAGCCTTCAGGTGTTCTTCCGCTTCCATGATATTGACTCCACCACCCTGCATCTGCTGATTGAGATGATTGAGAGCTGCGAATATATCAGCCATGTACGCTAAAATGAGAATGAACTCAGGATTTTTGAAGCAATCTGCATGGCAGTGTTGGTGCTCTTGCAAAAACAGGGCTAATTCCACACGCATGGCAAAAACACGATTCAGCACCTGTCCCCGGGATAACCACCGAATATTAGAATGGAGCAGAAGTACCTCAAATTCAGAGCCCATTTCTTTACACAGCTCACTGAAGATGCGGTGCCTCAGAGCACTTTTTCGCACATAGTTCACACATTCCACCACAGTTTTTAATACTTCTGCCATTTTTGGAGGTAAGGTTTTTGTTGCCAACGCATGCCTGTGCAGAATACAATGCGTCACAATGATGTGTGGTGCATCGGCCTTTACTAGCGCACCAAAACCAGACTTTCTTCCCAGCATGACTGGAGCTCCGTCCGTACAAACTGCAGAAACCATATCCCATGAAAGATTGTTGTCTCTGAAGAAGTCATCCACAAGCTTCTTCACATCGGCTGCCTTCGTTGTTGTTGTAAGAGGCTTACAAAATAAAAACTCTTCTTTTATCATGTCGTCTTTCACATAGCGTACAAATACAGCAAGCTGGCTTAGATCAGAAACGTCTGTGGTTTCGTCGAGTTGAAGGCTGAATTTTGCCGGGCTTGAAATCAGATCCGCGACTACTTGAGCCAAGATGTCTTTACTCATGTCTTCTATTCTGTCACTGAGGGTGTCATTTGAAAGGGGAATTTGGGATAATTTACCTTCGGCCGCTGTTCCGAGTATCAGATTCGCCATCTTTAATGCAGCTGGTTTCACAAGTGTTTCACCAATGGTGTGTGGCTTGCCCTGCTTTGCGATCAGGTAAGCAACTTCGTACGATGCTGTCAGGATCGGTTTGTTAACAGGTACAAATCCAAGAGCAGGCAGAGTGGCCCTTTCATCGAATCTGGCTCTCTTCACCCTGAATTCAGCAAGTGTTGTGTTCTTGTATTCCCCGTCTCCATGCAGCTTCAAGAAGTGTTCCTTTAGTTTTGCCGGTGCAAGACTAGAGTTGCTCAACTTGGCGTTGCAAATCATGCAGATAGGACGCTCACTCCCATCACGTTCCGTGATACATGAGAATCCATGTTGTACATATTCGTCCGACTACTTTCTTCTTTTGCCCGACATAGTTAGTATGGATAAAATATTAAAGAAATCACACGACGTACGACAACAACAGTCACACGTTGACTACTGAGTACGCACTAAATTCCCCGCAGCGCTGATTGGCCAAGCAGTGTAGCATGATCATCTGCAGCCAGTGATGGCCAAGCGGGCCGTGTGTGTCATCACAAATTTACACAATAATTCAAGTGTGTCCGGACCTCCGTGGCGGGGGCTCTGCCGAACCCCTGAGATCGACTCACCGAACCCCTGGGGTTCGATCGAACCCAGGTTAAGAACCACTGGTGTAGTGTATAGTGCATACCAGTCAACCCCTTATCAGTGCCTACCTTACTGCAGACCGATTCATATCTTATTGGGTCATGCCGTGCCGTTACAAATCTCAACATCCAATCCCACAAAGTCCCATCACAAGGGAGAAACGCAAACCAATATTGAAACGGCTGTACGTCGAAATGGAACTGAAAAAGTAAATTTCCCTGCACAATAATAGGGGTTTAAACCGTATTGGGTTGACACGGTATGGTCACCGGTTCCCACTGATCACGAGGCCCCCTTCCACAGCCCAGGAGGTTTGCGAGTGGCGCGATTGCGGCGAGTGATGGAAGTGGAGGTGAGAAAATTCGGGTGAATGAAGCGATGGTGGTGGTGGCGGCGGCGATGAATGAATAATATAAAGCGAATTCAAGTGGTTAGAAGGCGAGTGGTGATGTCGCGGTTGATTCGGGCGCAAGTGGTAGGTGATGGAGACGTGGGATGATGGTGATGGAGACAGAGCCGCGAGTATCGGTCACCTGTGCCTCTGCAGCAGCGGCTTGCCCTCAAACTTTGACGAAACGACGAGAACCTTAAAGCTCGCCCCGCACATCGTGGGCGAGATGTCATCCACCTCCTGCATCATCGACGACGACGACAACAACAACAACGGCGAACATCAGCAGACGTAGTTTTTGAGCACCCGTTGCGATCACCCAGCTCATCGCGAAAAACCTTGACACCGGGGGCCTGGGCGCGCCACGCCGCCCCGTCTGCCTCGCCCCTGACGCCGGCAGACGCGACCAGGAAACGGCGAAGGCTGCGGCGTTGCCGGCGCGGGCCCTCCTGGGGGCCTCACCACGTAGGAGGCGTCCAGCTCCTTCTCCAACTTCTGCTTGAGCGCCTCGGCTGTGATGGCCATCGCGGCGACGCGAGCCGACGCCTGGGCTCGTGGTCTGGTTGTTGGTGGTGGTGGTGCTCGAGGTGGTAGCGGCGGCGGCGGCGATGGCAATGGATGGCGGTGGGCGGTTCGTTACCGATGCGGGGAGCGGCCACCAGGAGGCGGACGCGATGGCAGCGAGATGAAGGAGCGTGCCGTGGGAATTGGCGGCGCGGGCACTGCGGAGGGATTGATTGGCGGGCATGGGCAGAGGGGGAATGAGGGCATGAGCATCGTGAGGGCATGAGCATCGTGAGGGCATGAGCATCGTGAGGGCATGAGCATCGTGAGGGCATGAGCATCGTGAGGGCATGAGCATCGTGAGGGCATGAGCATCGTGAGGGCATGAGCATCGTGAGGGCATGAGCATCGTGAGGGCATGAGCATCGTGAGGGCATGAGCATCGTGAGGGCATGAGCATCGTGAGGGCATGAGCATCGTGAGGGCATGAGCATCGTGAGGGCATGAGCATCGTGAGGGCATGAGCATCGTGAGGGCATGAGCATCGTGAGGGCATGGCTAGCAGGGACAGGGGGTAAGGAGAGGGGAGCACCGTGGATGAGGCCAGGGTTAAAGAGGGCCATCGGTGCTGCACGCACACCCACAATTCAATTTTTTTCCTTCGTGTCATTGAAAGTTCGGTTCAGCCGCGATCGATCCACTTGCTTGATGAAGACCTTCCAAACCACCGCTGTCTTTCACGGCCCCGCGGTGCATCAATCCATCTCGCGCCCGCACGGTGATTAAAATCGATCCATCTCCGCAGTGCAGGTCCTCTCATTTTGGGCCACTCCGCCGTCACCTAAGCCCATCCTTTCACAAACGCGACGTCGAATTTCCATATTACCTCTAATCCATATATTTTTTTTGCCTATTTGAACCGTGCACTTCACAGCTTGCGCCAGTAAACACGCAACGTTGGCGCGTGGTTGGAACCGCTGGCCAAAACTTTGCGTGTTCACTAACATGCCAACGACGAAAACTTACACCACGCGCATGATTCACCGTCTCGGAGAGAGAACGACTGAGGCACGTAGGCATCCGGAAGGCAAGCAGGAAGGCATCCACGCCGTGAGCCGGTGCCAACAATTTCCCCGACCTCTGCGGTCATCTACATATGAAGGCGTTTAAAAGTGAAAGGAAACCGGAACGCCCAGATACCAAAAAAAACGTGCAAGGGGGAAACACTCGATTTCACATACAGGAGACGGAGCAGGTGGAGTCCACATTTTTTGCTGTATCGTACCGAACTGCACGCTTCCTGGCGAGCCGGTTTGATCTCCAGGCGCGGCAGCTGAAACAATGGGCACTTTTATTAAATCCCCCGCCCGTCGATTGGCAGGTTGCTTGGAATAAAATAAAATATGGGTGCTCCCACCTCTTCCAACACGTCTCGCCAGCGTGGAAGAGGATACCAACACCTTCTGGAGGAACTCTAAGAGCTCCCTCTATCGAGTAAAAAAGTTTTCCTGCCAGCAGTGGCGTAATCAAATAGTTTCGGTGCTTACTCTTTGGTTCTATTCGGTAAAGTCACTTGTAAAAAAAAAAATTCACGACGTTTCGGCCACAACACAAGTGGCCTTCATCAGGTGAAGGGACCGTGCTATGAGGACAGCGTTGGAGTGAAAACAGCCAAGCCCAGGTGGCGTCCTTTAAGCTGTGTGGGAGGAAGCAAAACGCTTGACAAAGGAATTAGCGTAAAAATGAGCACGATGTACGTAGGAGGTGCATGGGCCATGATGGACCAGGAGCGGGTGGGGACCATGACGGACCAGCAGCGGGGGGGGGGGGGGGGGTAGAGTGAGTGGAGTGAGTGGAGTGAGTGGAGTGAGTGAGTGGAGTGAGTGAGTGTTGTGAGTGGAGTGAGTGTAGTGAGGGAGTGGAGTGAGTCGAGTGAGTGAGTAGAGTGAGTGGGTGTAGTGAGTGAGTGGAGTGAGTGGAGTGAGGGAGTGGAGTGAGTGAGTGGAGTGAGTGGAGTGGGTGGAGTGAGTGGAGTGGAGTGAGTGGAGTTGAGTGAGTGAGTGGAGTGAGTGGAGTGGAGTGAGTGGGTGGAGTGAGTGAAGGGACCAGACTGTTCAGAGGACAGCGCTGGAGTGAACACAGTCAAGCTCAGACCGCGACCTCTAAGCTGTGTGAGAGGAAGCAGAGCGCCCTGACAAAGGAATTAGCATAAAAAAATAGCATTTCATTGGCGGACTTAGAATGAAGGACGATGTACTGGGGGGGAGCATGTGCAGACCGGCGATGGGGAGAGGGGGGAGCCCACATATTGATGGTGTGAAAAGGGAATTTAAGCAGCTGCGAAAGTTTGGGATACCACTACTTAAAAAAATATACTGTACCATTGAAAATTAGTTTAATGTTTGGTTTGATTCAGAACATCTTTCCAATGTTGATTTAAAGCTTTCGTGACTGCAGTAATTCATATTCTTAGCTCTTTCGGTAAAGTCACGATGAAAGGAAACAATAAAATAATAATATATATATAAAACAATAAAAATTCTCACGTTTCGACCATAACACAGTCGTCACACCTGATGACGACCGTTTGTGTTATGGTCGAAACGTCGTGAGAATTTTTATTGTTTTATATATATTTTATTATTTTATTGTTTCCTTTCAACGCGACTTTACCAAAAGAGCTAAGAATATCTTTCCAATGGTTGCTTAATTGATGGACCAGGAGCAGGTGGGGACCATGACGGACCAGCAGCGGGGGGGGGGGGTAGAGTGAGTGAGTGGAGTGAGTGGAGTGAGTGAGTGGAGTGAGTGGGTGGAGTGGAGTATTTTTTTTACGTGACTTTACCGAATAGAACCAAAGAGTATGGATCCTTGCAGTCACGAAAGCTTTAAATCTAGAAGTTTCGGTGCTGCACGGTTATTTTTTATTTCATGGTGTTTAGTACAAACGTAGCAAGACGAACATAACCAGTCAGGGTACTGTAAAACAAACACTCCAAAGCGCCACGTAGAGATGGCTAGTTTTATTCTTTATTGTATAAATACTTTGTACTGCCAGCCAAACTGTGTGTACTCAAGGCCCAGAACACTGGCAAGTGTCACTGATAGAACTACTGCGCAAATACTGCCGTCACTTCGGTGCAGGGACCTTCGTCGTCAGAACGCTGTGGCCGCACTTGTCACATGCGTTGTGCACAGAAAGGAAATGAAACACAAGGTCTTTAAGAAGAAAAGAAAAAAAACTATATACACAAACAACTATTACTGTAAGACAATCATTTGGTTCATGGAGTTTAAAGTAAATGGCTTCAAAGAAATATAAATTAGCACACACCACTTAAGGCACAACATAAACAATAAAATTTAGCGTGGCTGCCGAAATCAGCAATCACTGCATGTGCAAGCGCATTCGTCCACTACTACTTCTGAAGTTCTAATAATCAAGTCTGCCAATATAATTGGATCTACCTGCATGTGGCCACGAGTTTATTACAACACGTAAACATTTTACTTCGTCTGCCTAAAACAATGCTTTGTTTGGTACTGACACTAGAGGCCTACGATAGAAGGCAAGATTTATTCTTCATACAACAAACGATCTCTCGCAATACGGGCGAAAAGACAATAATGCACACAGTTCTACGGGCTGTATCAGTACGACAGCGAGACACCTACAAATCCACCGTGGCCTTGTAGTACTGCAAAGACAATCTCGATCGAAAAAGGCTCTCTACGCACATGATTGCAGCCACTACTCGGTTTTCATCATCTTGGTCTGCACTTTTTGATCAGAAAAGACGGACACAAACCGCATCGTCAGGCTTAACAACGGAATTCAGTGCCACTTGGCGTTGGTGCCGTGTATTGTACAGCATATTTCATAAGCCCGTTTTTGTACAGCCTGGCAGGACTGACAGCCAGTACCTAATGGCTGTTGATGCAGCCAAGGTCTACAAACATCCATCTTTAGGCAAGTACTAAATCCTACAACAGGGCTGCATTACACCTCATCAATGCTGCAAACGCAGTGCAGTGCCCTCCCCATCCAGCAGCATAGCTCTGGTCACCTCACTCGCATAGATTAATCAACAGGTGCGCAATCATCAGACGTCACATAAATCGTGGCAACGGTTACACCCGTTTTCAATGACACACCCGCAAGAGGCCAAGTACGCAACCCACATCCTGAAATAGTACATTTTTAAATGGAACAAAATTTATAAGTGTGTATGATAGGAATTACACAGATCATCACAAAGCAGTCGTCACCGTTGCACAAACGGACTAAACCCCAACCCGTGATCTTGAAAAGTGGTGTTGCTGCGAGCAGATGATGCCGCTTTGGAGGTCCTTGGGGAATCACAAAGAGGAGTGTGATATATAGCAATATTAAGGATAATAGTGATATTAAGTCCCTTATCTAAACCAGGTGAGTGTACATTGGAAGGTGTGTCAGCTCAAGTGCTGTCAACACTGACCAGGTATTGTCACTCTTCTGCTTTTCCCTTATACCTCTCGTGTCACATGATATAACACGGAACATATACTATTTATTATATCCCAAGTACCATAATATCTTCTTTCAGTAAAAAAAATATTTGGGCAGATACAACACGCCTATGCATGGAATTTAACTCGTCAATTTGTCTCCGCAAGGTGACAGGTAATTTTGCCGCTTTATGATTAATGAAAAGGGGAAACATTTTACCCGAACAGATCGGTTCCTTGTGGCTTTTGCCTTGTGCAATGACGATCGTGTCATAGGTTGGAGCTGTAGTTTATGTTCAGGCAGCTACGTGCCTTTGTGAGGTCTGGTGGTGGGTAGGGAGACACGCAAGCCTAAATCCTTCAAAACGACTATTGCTGGGAATGTCGGGAACCTCCCAAAGCGGTCACATGGTTACAGCCAGCACTCGGGCTGCAGCAGCTGCTGCTGCCCCCTACTGATGAAGGTGCGACCCTGCTGCCGCTACGTGCGACCTCATAGGCGTGCCGCTAGGCCGGCGAACAGGCGAGACGGCGCTCGCGACGCCGCTACTTCTCAGTGAGCGACAGCATGAGCACTCGCTCCAGCTCGTCCTCCTCCTCACGTTGTCGGCGCTCGGCCTCCTGCTGCTCTCGCGCCGACATCTCCAGCACCAGGCGCAGCTGCTCAGCGTAGCCGACCTGTACTGGCAAGGAGGCCGGCGACTGCGCCGC